TTCAGAGCTCTGGGAGCTGAGGGAAAGTCAGCTTTGCCCAAGCCACGGTTCAGAGCCTTCAAAAGGATGATGGGTTCGCATACTTCCTTTCTTAATCATGCCGGAAATTACTTGTTAATGGCTTTTTGGATATTAAGAACCTTTGGAAAGGCAAGTTTCATTACACCAGGTGAGTCTCCTTCAATCCTTGGTGAAAGACGTTTTATGCAAGTTTAAGGACTTTAAAAATTCTTATTTTGGAATAAACAGCAAAAGGGTGATCAGAAAGTTGATTTTGGAAAGTTATAAATGGACTAAGGGCCAAATGGATTTGAAATAAGATTTTGAAATTAATTATGAGAATCCTTCCTGTAGGTTATTTAAAATTCTATTTAAAATATATGAAGATTTTGAAACTAAGTGTAAGAAATCTTCCCATGAGAAAATGTGGATTAGAGAAAAACATAAGATGGGACTTTGAAGGTTGGACACTAGAAGGAACCAGAAAGACTAAAGATTATAAATAAAGGAGAAGAGACCCACTAATATAGAATGGAACAAAATATTTTAACTTTGGAAGAATTTAAGGATATTTGGGAACAATGCACTCAGAAGTTTGTCTGGTACCATAAAAATGGCTTTAAAGGAGGAGATAGAAGAGTATAAGACTGAGACTGAGGCTGTTTTGAATGTGGATTTTAAAATAACAAGTTACAAGAATGATATGGAAAAAGATGCTACACTGGATTTACAAATGAAACCAGCTGATGTCTTAATAACTAAGAGGGACACACAAATAATAAACCAGAAGAGTGACTTGGACAACTTTCTTATCTTGGACTTACAAAAGAGACATATTAAACTCATGAAGGAGTTCCTGAGAAAAGACAAAGAGAAAATGAAAAGAAATCAACTTTTGGAACACTATTTAAAGGGATCAAAGATCAAGATTTTTAAAAGCCAAGGGAAGGGATATAAAGTTGCTTATTTGATCAAGGTTAAAATATATATGTTGTTGTTTCTGTTAGCACTTAATGGGTTGTTCTTGACTAGGACAGGTGATGAGGCTTTAAAGATTTGTTTATTGATAAGATATGGTAAGAAGAAATGTTTTGTTATATTTTCAGAGAAAGTGATAAATTATGTGTTAAAAGGAAAGGAAAGGAATGCAAAGCTGGTATATTTGATTAAGGGTAAAATATATATGTTGTTATTTCTGGTAACTCTTAATGAACCTTTGCTGATTAGGATTGAATGACGAGGCTTTAAAATTTGTTTATAGATAAGAGATGAGAAATGGGAAGAAGAGATCTTTTGTTGTAATATCAGAGAAGGTGATAAGTTCTGAAATTGTTTATACTTGTCTTTATGAAGGGGGAAGTCATTTCTTTATATTTCTTTTTTCTTTACTATTTACTATTTTTTCTTTTTCTTTTCTTTTTTTTTAAATTCTCTGCACTTTTTATTTTTTATTTTTACTTTTATATTTTCCTTAGTTTGTATTAGTTTTTTTATCTTTGCATCTGTAAACTTCAATAAAAATTATTA